TACTAGCGACAGGCAGAAGTTATTGTATACATGATGGCTGCACATTAAGATGTTCACCTGCACGACTATGTGTCAACCAGTCTTTTCCATCAACACTTAAATATTTTTTAAAAAAATCTCCAGGAGTTCCTGAACATACCGTTTTCTTCACAGCAGTTCTGGAGGAAAAGCGGTTTAGTGTTTTTGCAGCTAAGCCATAAGCTGTGAGAATTCTTGCCAAAGTGGTCTGTCTACCTGAACAGGAGCCTAGGGCATGGCACGGACGGTGGAGGTCAGTTGGGGAAAACACAAACTGAGTAGCATTTTCAAAGATGTGGAAGTAGACTAACTAAAAGGACAGACGAGTTAAATCCGAACGTGTTAGAGATCCGACGGGCACTGAACAAACTGGAGAAAAAAGGACCAAGTTGCCTGCAGCAGGTGGAACCTCTTAGCCCCTGACATGAAAGCGATTTAAGGCTTTACCTGGCTGTTTTAAGTCTGTCTCTCTCATAGCTAGGTCTCACTGCTTAATTTGGGTGGGATGGGGGGAAAAAAAACCCGGTTTATTTTCAGAAGGGCACCAGTTCCCTGCTCCTTCCCTTAGAACGCTGGGTGGAAGATCAGCTGGGTGAATACCAGCCCACAGGAACGCTGTGCTCCAGCAGAGCTCAGCTGGAAAGAAAACACAGGGACTGTCGAAGCCCATGAGCCAGACACCACGCAGGGTTTGGAAAGCTCAAGGGAAAGAATAATTTGGTTTGGGAATGAGCAAAGGACAGAGTACATTGGACAGCCCAGTCTGTACCACTGGAATCGATGGTCCCCAAGTGCTTAGGAATTGTTCTCCTGACCTCTGTCTGATCTTGGCCAAGTGTTTAAAGAAACAAGAAACTGCTTAGTTCACTATGTTGTGCTCAGGGGGAAATATTTATTCAACATTCAACCTTCATTTCACTTTTATTAACACCACCTCAGTCCTATAAGTTATGTGTCACTGTCTATCCATTTTTAATCACACTAGCATTTAAGATCAGCTTTGCTTCTCATGGCCATCAAGGGTTTGGGATTGTTCTTTTTTTTTTCTTCTCTTTCTCCCTCATTGCTTGCTATTTTTCTGCTAGACAGACTAGCTCTCACAATAGTTGTCCTTACTATAAATAGCTGCACATGCACTTAACTATGCAAGAATAGTGCTCCATGGAGATATGGAGAAGCAATGTGGCAGGGAAGATGATTCTGAGAAACAGTATTTCCTCCCCCCAATTTATTCAGTCAACAGGCAGAAGGACAATAATTATTTTAGATAAGATTTATTCTTTGGAACTTCACTGCATATATATTTGCCCAAAGCTACCCTGAGGATTTAATTGGACTGAGCTGGCTTGTTACAGCTGAATTACTTATGCTTGAAGTGATACACTCTTTACTGATTTATTTATAGGTTAAATCCACAAAGAATGAAGAACAAAAGCATTATTAATTTAAACTCACATTAAATAAAACTAATCTCAAGACTTAGGGGTTTTTTGTTTTTTTGAAACAAAGAAGAATATGTCATCTGGATTATTTCATTAGGCTGTTACTTGCTATGTATCACCATAAGCTACAAACATACAAAAGAATGAATTTTAAATATTAATACTGGTAAGCACAGAAGCCAGCATATCAAGATATTAGTCTTGCTTCTCCATACAGGAATGCTGTGAGAGACATCTTAGCCATTTTCACTCAATAAGCAAAATTTTTCCACGTGCCAATAGAACAGTATCAGCTAAAGAGTGTGTCTTAGCCAAAAGAGATTTTCTTTTTTAACGTTAGGTTATCTGATGAACACACTTCTGTATCTGTGAAGGCTGAGTCTAAGAACGCTGCTGATTAGGCACTTTGGCTAGCTCAGAAAAGCAGCCACGCACAGAAGCTGAGTATTGTTCAGCACCATCAAGCACTGTCAAGATCCATTGTCCATGCTTTTCCTTTGGAAATTAACTTCTCAATGGGTTTACTGACACATGGAAAGACAAAAAGGCCAGAACAATCATGCAATTGCGGTCTGGTTTAAGCACTCTCTGCAAGTAAAAACAAACACAAAAAAACCCAAACCCAAATCAGAATTCTTATACCAGCACCCTGAATGACATAAAGGGGAAAAAAAAAAACCCCTCAACTACCCAACCTCTACATCAAGAAAATGTTCCTGTAAAAGAAAGCTAGGTAGATGAGAATTTCTTTATAGGAAGTTGCAGCACATTAATTATTTCAGACTACCAAGATTCTTCTTCTGACGAAGCGCCGTGAAAAACAACACTGCCCTGATGTGAGTGCGAAAGACCAGAACATACTTCTGCAGCACAGCTCATGCGATGGCTTTCATCCTAGACTGGGACTCCACGAGACCTGACAATTACCGCCTGGTTCAAGAGCATCACATTAAGCAATCTGGGGATAAAGATGGGATTCTACTGCTCTAACAGTTCTTTGACCTTATTTTTACATTACCAATGTGATTTGAGTCATCTTGTGTATAATTCTTGTAGACTTCCAGAAAAACCTTAAATACATCAAGTGGAGCTATGTGGCAGAAGGAATGAGTAGATGTATGGGATTAGGGAGCTACCAAATAAAGAGCTTCTCCTCTTAGTGGCAGGAGACAGGAAATAGACTCATCTGTTTCTTAACTATTTAAACCTCAAAAATTAGCAGTTTCCCTTAACATGCCAGCCAGGAACCTTTCAATTTATCAGAATTTCAAAATATTCATCTTAGTGGCAGGCAAACCATCACTTGAAGGGCATTTGTTTCATACTGTAACTTGCGTTTAATGAAAAGACCTCTTTGCACTGCACGATCTGTTCTTGAGTTTACGTAAACATTCTTTAACACTTAATTTCTGCTCTGCAGATACAAGTTAGACAGAACTGAACCTTAAAGTACGCAAAGCCCCTCTCATACACAGATGTTACTGCCATCCCTTTTTAGCACTAACATCCTCATAGCCGTGATGGTCAAAAAATACAGAGGTACGGTTTGGAGGGAGAGCTGTAACCTTCTACCAGTTCAGAAGCCATAAGCACAAGGGCCAGAGGGGCAGCCGTGCTCACAGACACCCAACCACCCTCCTTCTCCAGCTACATCAGTTGAGTCCCAAGAGATCACTTCCCACTATAAACTCTGCTTCGCTATTCCCATTTCTGTTAAAGGCAGTTGTCATCTAACTCCACTTGAAAAAAAAAAAAAAATGCATTAACCTACATGCAGATTTTTTTAAAGCACGTAATATCCTGCACATGTTGGTTTCCCAGCTTTTGAGTTTGCCCTCGTGAACTTACTTCTAATAGCAGCAATGTCTCTTGTTCTGTCCATTCTCTTCCAGCACTTGCACCTTTACTCTACAAAAGACAGAGGGGGGGAAAAGTGAAAAACAGGCATTTTTGCACAGAACTTTTTAGAAGAGCACATTAAGAAGGAAAAGGGAAGAATCTGTTATTTAATCCACTCAAAGATGGACCTTTTCACACTAGAGGTAACCAGTCCCTGGTTCTCTCGTACAGTGGTTCGGTTCACATGATTTACTTACGTAGCTGAGGCACGCAGGCGAGTACATTCCTGCAGCCTCTGTGGAGGCTGGGGGTTACGGATCCCGCCTTCCCAACACGTCTAGAACCCACAACTCCTTTTATTCCAAGCTAAAGTGATTTGCCGCCCTTTTCTCCTGGCTACCTTTGCTTGCACATACAGCAAACAGAAAAGCGGATTTTCCTAAGTAATAAAAATCCATGGGAGCGCTGCTGGCATTCCGGTCAGCTTGACTTTGGGCAGTAAAATTAAGCCAAGAAGAGAGCAGACTACACCAAAAACTACAGTTCACACTAAAGGACAGCGGCAGCCAACAGACACAATGGAACATCTAACCCCCCTCACCAGCTGCCGTACAGCCGAAGGAGGCTGCTGTCCGTCACAGAGACAGTATTACTCGATTCAGGCAAACTTGGGATTCTCTCAGCATAAAGGACACCCTTCTCAACAGAACAGGGCTTACGTTAAACGTAACTTTAGCCCCCATCAAACCTCTGCTTCCAAGGCAGACGGGCTGGACTGCGTAAGGTACATGCTGGTCCAAAAAATAAAACAGTTCAGCAGTAACTCAGTAAAAAAATTAAATCTTTACAGGTGAGATGAGCTACCTGAAGAGACAGAGTGATTACAGCAGGATAATCTGCATATTTAGCAATCACTTGCTCTACCGGTTGCCGCTCCCAAATCTATACCTGGTGGTGAACTCCTGAAATAGCCCTAAAGTTACAAAACTTTTGGTGAAAACTTCCTCTCCCATGATTACAGATGCCCTAATCCATTACATGTCAAATAAAGACAAAAGCAGCTTGTCACCTGCTTACGAAAGACCCTTATCTAAGGTGATAATCCTATCTCAGATTTCACACAGATCATTAACCCACAGAACATTAATCAAAGGGAGTCATCCAGCAGCTGATCAGTTCTCAAACAGGCTGGTACAAACAGCCAAAAAAGCAATTGCCACACATTAAAAAAAAAGAGTAATCAACTTCTGCAAACAAATCTGCTCAAGTTTGTTGGTATAGATGCCTGTAAAGGGAACCAGAGTCTAGAACCAGTAAAAGATTTACAAATTTGGTGAATATTTATGTAAAAAAGTCACTCCTCCATGAAACTTGACAGATAGGCTTTATAGATAAATCCTGATCTCTTGTGTTTTCATTTTGCTGGGTTTTTTAAACTGTTATCTCATGATCTTTTAGGCCAATGAACACTGCACTTACAGAAACCAGTTACACAGAATGAGCCTGATGTCAGCCCAAGAGAGGCACTAACTGCAGAACTCAGACTTCCATGGTACTCCTGCAACAGCTCCGAGCACCACCAGGTACGCACACAGGTATCAGGAGGAAGGCAAGAGGTTATGGAATTACTGACATCACTGCAATGCTACCTCAAAACTTGGACTATCCGATACAACGCGCTGCAGTGACAGTGCTGAAATGTCCCCTGCAATGGTTTTGTGACACCTTTTGTTGCTAGGTCCTCTCAGGCTGCAAAACCCTGCTCAGCCTTGGAGAACAGGCTAGTTAAAGACCCTGCTGAAAGATCTCCGTTTCTGTATTGCATTATTGGAGAGTTTGTTGATTCTGAACTTTTCAGGTAAAATATGCAATAATATAACAAGAGTTCAGCGTCTGGAGACTGACAGTATTGACCAGCCTGGGACAGGCACATGTCTATTCCTACAAAACCAGATCTGCAACACAACCACGTATCAGTGTTCTACATTGAGACAGAAGAAATCTGTAACAGGAATGTAAGCTAAGAGAAGTCATCTCAATGTCATCTAGCGGAGGACACTTGAGGAAGAAATCTTAATGGTGCAGGGGAAAAAATCCCAACATACTTGCCTTTGCTAAAGTCTTTTTTGAGTAAATGTCTGTGCGGAGTCCAAAGTTCTGCAGATCAGTAGGCTTCTCCTTGTTTTTCTCAGGAAAACTCAACATCTGCTGAGCAGCTGGAACCTGCGAACAAACATTACATGAGAAAGGCAGGAACTGAAAGTTATGCAAGGTTTTCAGACCAATGTTCAGCAGAACAAATCAGTTGAACATGAGTTTACAGGGATGGCTTTACATTATATCACTTGCACACAACGCTAGCAGACTTGTTTTGGGGATTCCAAGTGCCTGAAACTCAACCTGGACAAAAAAGTGAATGTTTCAGCAAATCGTGTGTAAATTTTTCTACCGAGACGTTACACGGCACTGGCTCGAGCCGAGGCAAACGCAGGTTAGTGCGACCTGCGGGCTCACCTGCGGAGTGCGGATATGGAGAGGCATAAGTCCAGAGGGCGTATCAGCCAGCACGTTGAAGTGAGGAGTGGGGGGGGGCCCCATGGCCATGGGACGGCTTTCAGGATCCACTTGGTAGTTAATGAGACCCCACTGCTCCAGAAAGGCATGTACTCTATAAAACAACGCGACAAATTATAATCTGAACAACTAGAGCCTTGTTTATGCTCAACGCTGCAGAAAGGAGACAGCAAAGGACAAAGTTTATGTTTCTGGATCCGACACAGATCCAGAATCTTCTATAATCCTTCTCCAATCACTAACAGCAACACAAGTCACGTAGCATGAGCTCTGTGAGGACTTGAGTGCACTTTAGCATGTTGCATAAAACAAAACATGACTTTTTGTTATAGATAACAGGAAATTAATTAAGGACAAAGGCAAAGGAAGCTAGGGCTGCGTGTATGGAACCAGTTGCAGACAACGTACGGACTGGGAGGGCTGCACAACCAGAACACTGACCTAACAGCTGCAAAACTGGAATTGCTGAAAAAAAACTCCACACACTTAAAGAGCAGAACTAAATAATCACAAGTTAAGATCCAAACTCTGTAGGCACGAGTCAGCAAACAGAGCCTTATAAATAAAGAACAGCATAAAATAGTCTGGTTACCAAAAAAAGTGGGGAAACTGCTGACCAACAGCACAATGCCTATTGCCCACATCCGTGCTGTCATACCGGAGCACTTCCACTTCTGACGCAGCGCCTATTTCTTTTTGTTAACGTGAAGGCGGTGGCTGAAAGAGCCCCGGTTTTACCTCATGACAGCGCACACGTCTCCAGTCAGATTCCTCCTGCAGGCAGTGCTGGTCAAGTACTCTTGAGGGTTTAAGCGATAGGTGTCAATCATGAAGTTGCGGTAAGCCAGGTATCTGAAAGACAATTGATACGTAGTTCACGTATGCTGATGTTTAACAAAGTTTAGAATGCGTTTTAGGGATTCACCTTCTCCAGACACCTGTATTACTGACAAGCAAACAGAAAGAGGTAATTTTTATCAATTCAGTTAATGAATCGGTATCAAAAGCAATAGATAAATAGAATTTGTTTTTATACTGAATATGAGCCATTTCTCCCAGACTGTTTCATTCTGGGTTTTATCTGTATTTAGATTAGCAGCACATTGAAGCACACTTAAATTACAAAGCATGCAAATAGTTGTGGGCAAGTAAAATTTAAAAAATTAAGCAACTCAAATGGCTACCTTGACTCCTTTGAAAATTGCAACCAAAAGCAGCACTAAGAAGTCTAACACCAGAAGTGTGAGAAGGTAAGAGACAGGACAACTCCTTGAAACATCTGCTCTTCCAGCACTAGTAATACAAAGAGGAACGTAAGCTCCTACTCTCACGCCTTTGCTGCAGCTCTGCTGCAAACATGTGAGAAGCAGATGGTCCTACCTTCATCCTGACCAAGTTACATATGAAACTTGCTGGGGAAAAGTACAGCACTAGGTGTTGGGCTCCTCCACGCTGAATGTTTGGTAGGCAAGAATCAAAGAGGGAGCTTTTTCTGTAAAGGAATGTTCAGGAACATCTTTGAATGCTCCTGGAGAAGACTGGGTGACCATCTGGTCGAGGACAGATACTTTAAAGCAGTCTTGGCTGCTGAAATTAGTTAAGGTCACGTAACTGGGTAAGAGAGAAGCCTAAGACAGAAACATCCCAAAGTTTAGCCTGAAAGGAGCCTGTTTTCGACAATGACATGACCTGTCAGCTAAAACTTGTCAACAGTGAGAAAGATAAGTCAACTAGTATTTAGTTAAAATCCCTTTTAAGACAGTAACCACCCCCAGGCACTACTGTCACAAGAATGAACTTGTGTGAGCTTTCAAAACACGGTATTTTGTTTGGCCTGAAAACTAAGCTGGAGGCAAGACTTCTTCATTCAGAAGGATTCTTCTATTTTATTTAAAAAGAAAACACAAAGCCAAGACCACATGCTACTCCTGCAATCCCTAAATGGCAACAAAAATACATCTCTAGCATAACATCAGGATTGGGAGGAGTCCCTAGCTTGCTTCACTCATAGGCAATAACCAGTAGCAGCTCACGGACGAGTACCAGGAGACCTGATGTTACTATGTCAACTGAAAAAGGAAGCATGGGATTACGCGTGACGATCACATCAATGGCAAATATGAAAGATAAGCGTTCTTTCACAATTCAATCTGTTTGCGGTCTGAGACACCAAGTCCTAGAAACCCCAAATCAAAAATACGCTGAATAATGAAACTGGTGGAACAGAGTTAGTGTCAAATACATTTTGGATCAAATACAATTTGGAATCACTCCGATGCACCTAGGGTTACCTCTGCAACTCGGACATGCAGAGAAGTTGCCAGTAAAGACTACAGACTGAAAATCATTCACGGTGCCAGGGACCACAGCAGGTCTCTAAGGCAATCTCCTACTCAAACCATGGTCAGCACTGAATTTTCACCAGGTTGCTTAGGGCTTTGTCCAGCAAGGCCTGACAGACTCCAAGGATGGACATTCCCAACTTCCCAGGGCCCCATCCCAGTGCTTTACCTTCTTCAGAGTGAAAAATTTCCCTTATATCAAGATAGAACTTGCTGTGTTTCAATTTGACTTAATTTTTCTTCTGCAACACCCTAATAACGAGCCTGGCTCCATCTTCTCAGTAACCTCCTCGTGCACTGGGCAACTACTATAAGGTCTCCCAATTCTCCTCTTCTCCAGGCTGAAAAAGCTTAGTTTCCATTTTTTATCTCGAGATTAGATCAGAAGGCTCACAAAAGAACAGTCGTGCCTGAGAAGAGGAGATTGAAGCACAAGAACATTCTCTGAAGTCCGCCTTGTTCACCTGCCGGATGAGCAACGCAGGGTGGTATCACCACCACCCTTGGCACCAAGAACGAACTGAGGAAAACAGTTAGTTTGAAGAAGTGTTTGGTATGAAAAGTAGACGGCTTTGCTGATGTTGAGACAATATACTGAGAATACACCTCAAATGCTTCATTTAGTAGTTAATTCTAAAAAAATGGTTTAAAATCCCCCAAAAGCTGCTTTGGAACTAGACCAAGATTTGATACTGAGATAAAGCGAACACGACTAGCCTAGTTTCGCTTGTCCAAGTTGATAAGCACACAATGGTCTTCTCCTTTTGGGGGAGGTTAGGATTATAATTTTAATAGAAACAAGCACATTGTTCAAAAGCCTGATGCTGACCATCTTCCTTTAATCAACCACCTTTCAAGATTCTTCTGAATAACTTAAATTTACTGTTATAACAGAAAATTCCAAGGGGAGGTGTACTTTTACCAGCACACATAACAAGCCTTGCAGTAGCTTCTCAAGATAAGCACTGGATGCAAAATCAGAGCTTATCTTGTTACGCTGCTAAGTCAGATCAGAAGTTAATCATTTGATATATGAAAAAACCTGCACTATCTCAAGACAATAATCAGCTTTATTTATTTATTTCAAACAGCTTCAGGGAAGCTCCAGGAAAGCTGTTTAGGCTGTTTGAACAACTGGGCGTGTATAATTTTGAATTAAGAACACTTAAGTTCTCCAGTAGATACCAGATCCCACAAGATGAGACAGGTACAAACTGGATCTAAATTCAACTGAGAGAACTCCACCTAGATTTAACAGGCATGTCCAGGATTCCAATGTCACGAGAAGGTTTGGAACAGCTATAGAAGAAAAAAAAATATTTTTCTTCTTGCAATGCACAACTCCAACTCTCTGATTTAGATCTGACTACTTAATATTTGAAAATACAGTTACATCTCAGGCCTGCAAAGATTTGTTTTCCAACCCTCACCTGCACTTTCAGAATTACCCATCAGCTGCTCAGGGAACCATGAAATCAACACAGAGAACTGTGCAAAATCCGTTCCACAGTCCAACACAGCATCCTACAACAAACTCAGCAATCAGCGCTTACACACAAAACTCCTGAGTTGCAAACATACAGCATGGCATGAGAAGAGAGAGAAATACGGAGGATTAAGTTTTTACAGTATCATGAAATTTTTCAGATGATTGTGTCTTGTACCACACAAAAACAGTTCAAAAAATTTGTTCCAGTATTTCTTGGGAGAAACCAGATTTATTTTTCCTGGATAACCACTATTAACTATTACTTTGATATTTAAAGTTGTACCTCTAGAATGATAACGCAAACATCACTGAACTGCAAGCAGTGGTTGTACAGGTACTCTTCTTCTTTCACACCCCTAGAGACAGTATCTGCTTAACACACGCACAGCTGAAGTGACCACAGGATTCACGAAACCTGAAGCTCCTTTATCTTGCCGCACTCTTATACACCTATATTTACAGGTTTTACTTACATTTCTGGTGTCTTGGACTTGTTTTTTCCATTGAAGAATTCAGGAAGAGCACGACGTTCAATCACATGAATACTGTAATGAAAACACACGATTCAGATGCCAAATACTAAATAATCTTGGAGTACTCTGCACACATCCAAATGAATATTTTGAGGGAGAATATTTATAGCAAGGGTTTGTTTTGTGGTGGGTTTTTTTTAATAAACCCTACTATTCTAGCATGACCCTTTGAAATTGGCTTTTTTCATCAAATAAGCAAAGTTGCATTAAAAAAGCATAAAAAAATTCATTCACTGATCAAAGCAAAACTACGCAACCCTAATCAAACTCGGAAAAGTGGGGAGCAGCAGCACGTTTTCACCTGTACCTTCACCAGCTCTGTGTTCCACCAGAAGCATCCTTCTATTCTCCAACCTAGTTGGTGCAAACACTCAAAGTGCCGATGCCTCCAAGAAACCAAGCTTACAAGATAGGAGTGCAAGTGCGTGCTTTGAGTCCAATCCCAAAGTTGGATCTACAGCAATTACTAGTGCTCACATGTCAGAGAGGAGACAGCTGGCTTCGAGAACATCACTACTACTTCCCTAGTCAACTGGGAAAATAAAATCCCAAGTACAGATATTTGGAGCAACTAAACATCATCTTAAATTCAATTCTTCCCTTTTGCACTCCAAGGAACCACAGAGCAAAAACTGACTATGTATGATAGAGCAGAACTAACAACACTCGAGGTGCTATGCAGTACGTAAACTAAGATAAAGATCCCAGCAAGTTTGCCGACGACACTGAGCTGTGT